ATCAACCAGTGGGCTCCTATGGACCTGCCCAGGCTGGCATCTGCCACCTGTGGTCATCTGGAAACCAGCCAGCCTTGGGAGGCATGTCTTAAAATCTAAAGGAGGCCCCTAATTTGAATTAGGAAACTACAGGGTTAGGATGAAGGAGGTACAAAGGACCTTGATCTAAGGGATTTTTTGGGAGCCTGAGGTCAATCTGGGTACATAGGAGGGCTGTTGGATTTTCTAAATCCACCCAAGGGAAGACCCAAGGGTCCAAAGTACACCACGTCTCCCTGTTACCCTTCTGTGGTGTTATGGACAGTGCCTGAAACTTCCATGCAATCTCCTTCTTGTAGCGCAGACTGGGAAGATCCCCATCTCTGCCCAAGTGGCCAAGGCTCGCTTCCTAGGCACAGGTGTTGGGCATGATTGCTTTGGTAGTTTCACACATTCCCAGAGGCTAGATTTCCACCTTCAGATTCAGTGTCAAAGTGCTTGGTCACTGCCAACTCACTACAGCCAAGGGAACTGCATCACTCCGGGCAGGGCCACCACAGGGTTCTTCTGATGGGTTACTGTGCCATTCTTCTGAATGGCTGTGTTTTATACTAGAACAATTCCTTGAAGCTAACTGTTAATTCAGTTTTTGAAATATGATTCATATCCTGGAAGATTTCAGAATATGGGTACAGACTGATAAAAATGCATGAATACACACACAGACACACACACACACACACACACGCACACACACACACACACGCACACACATACATATTCACCCTCGCACAGTCATCTGTAAAACTTGCCTGAACCTTCCTTCTTAATTCTTTGACAATCTTGAGGCAAACTGAGACCCCATGGAGTGTGATGCACATTCCACCTCCTTCCCTGGGGAACCTGCTTTAGGGATGACAGCAGGCCCTCATTTAGAGGCAGGCAGGGTGAGGGGACCAACGGTCTGTAAGTTTGGTTGTGTTGGCCAAAGATGAGCTCTATAGAATCACTGACCTTCAGAGATGGAGGGCACCGTAGAGGGGATATGCTTCATCTCTTTCATTTTCAAATGCAGAAAGCCAGACACAGAAATAGGAATGGACATGCTGAGGCCCCTCAGCTGCTGTGTGCAGGACTGAGCCTGGAACTATCCTCACTGCTCTACCAAGACCTTTCCCTTCACAGCACTTGACACTCCTCTCAGCAGGCCAACTATTTCCAGAAGATTCCATTACTTTATCTTTCTTCCATGATGGAAGTGACTAGAAAGTGGGGAGCAGTGATTTCAACTATGTGTTTAGCAGGTTCTGGAAAGTTAGATTCTCCTGGTTCCAAACAGGTATGTAAAAAGGAAGGTTGAAATCTCTGGATTCTTCTGAAGGTCAGTCACTTTGTAAAATGGACCTGACACAGAGGAAATATAGATCTGTCTCCTTAGGGTAGTACAGAAGCCTTTACAGGTATGAAAAGGTTGCAGACTTAGTATCTAATAATAACCGAAATATAGCACTTCATAGGTTTCTCATATATAATTTAATCTGTTGGCCCTGGATTAAAATTCTGAAGCTGTGGAGGTGTGATGAATAACATCTAGATCTTCAGCATTAACCAGCCCTGGGTCACATTCTGGCTCTGCCGTAGGGTAGTCCTTTGGTCTTTGTACAAGTAGAGTAAACTTCCTGAGCCTCAGTTTCCTCAGCTTTAAAGAGAAGACACAATTCCCTTCTCAGTTTTGTTCAGTAGATTAAATACAGTGATATAAGAAACTCCTTAGCACAGTCCCTGGCAGACAACTGGGGTCAGTGAATGTGATTTCCCACCCCTCTCCTTGGGCATGGACCTGTTCAACCATTGGGTTGCTTAAGGCTGAACACCTCACGGAAACCCTTAGCCCCTCTGAGTCCTGCCTGTAGGAGAGACTCTACAGCACCCACCACAAAGGGGCGGAGTCAGAGGAGATCCAAGAAGCACCCTAGGTCTAGAAACTCAGAAAAGGCCTAAGGAAAATGAGGCTTAACCTGGTGTCTTTAGAGAAGGCAAATCCCAGGTATTATTGCTCGAAAGGCACAGAGGCTAGCAAAGGAGAGAGAAACCTGTGTAGAAATTTTATAAGAAATTAAATCAGAATATAGAAAAGCCCAATCTGATTTCACCCAAAATGAGCAATAACGTTAACTCCATTCCTATTTAAAGCCAAAGAGTACATCTTTGACAGCTAAAGAGAAGCTGCCTCAGGGCAAGAATTTCAAAATGAACCCATTTGATAACAGGAGTATCTGCCTAGCTTGTTTTACTAGGCAGGGTCTGACCCAAACACAGCTGATTATCAGACTCTCCAGAGTTCAAAGATCCAAGCACTGATGGCACTTGAGACTGGGGTTGTATATTCTGTTGTCTGTTTGTCTAATGTGCACACAGAGCGCATTTGCCAGGCAGTGTCTGAGCTGGCATGCCACACTTCTGTCGCAAATAGAAATAGGATGACTTTAATTGGAGAAGAAAGGTCAAGATGGAGGATGGGCCTCAGAAGTTGAAGCTTTGGGAAAGGTACCAGTAATTATTGATGTGGGAAGGAGGTGGCCAATAGCTTTCTCTCCCACCTTCTGACTTGATCATTCACTAATGTGGATGGGTCTTGTTAATCATCCCCAGAGGAGCCAGGTTTAATGGCTACACCTTTCGTTATAAGAATAATTTTTGTGCTACAAAGTACAAAATGTTGGATCGGTTTTCTTCTCCTTGCATTCTGCTATCAAACCAGGTTCCTGGCAAGCAAGTCTTGAAGATTAAGACAGCCTACAATTCATGGACACCAACTCATAGCAGCAGTTCAGCCCCCAGAGGCAGGTAGAAATTCTTCAAGACTGATAAAATATGTAGGCAGCAAGTGGCCTGTCAACTCAAACAAGTCTAGCTCTGCCTCTTTCAGCTTGACATTATAAAGGTGAATTGTCTGAATAGTGAAAGAGCGAGTGGTATTAACCTTAGGACCAGAAGGATGGCAGCTCCTGGAGAGCAGCTGGTACATAAATCTCGGCTGGTTGAGAAGTAGAAAGATACTTTAATAGAAGGGTAATTGAAGGATTTTTTTCTTCCCCCCCTAAACTTAGATCGTTTGGCCAATGTCAGTGGGCATTATTTTGCTCCCACTCCAGGGCAGGGCCATCTTCTATGGTGTAACTAAAGGACATTCCAGTGACTGGCTACCTGCACTAGTCTTGGCCCTACTTCTCCTCTGCCTCCTGAAATTCCCAACAGGAGACTCATCTTGGAGATCAAGGTAGCAGTAGCTCCAGAAGCAGCTGTTAAAATGCACAATGATAATTGGGAGTTAGTAGTCATTAGCACCACCGCACAGATTGATTTATCAAATTAGTTATAACCCTTCTGAGAGCAAGGACTTTGGAATCTTAAAAAAGTCAAATCAGCAGGAATAAAGACGCAGAGGTAGGGAATGGACTTGAGGACACGGGGAAGGGGAAGGGTAAGCTGGGATGAAGTGAGAGAGTAGCATTGACATATATACACTACCAAATGTAAAATAGATAGCTAGTGGGAAGCAGCCGCATAGCACAGGGAGATAAGCTCGGTGCTTTGTGACCACCTAGAGGGGTGGGATAGGGAGGGGATATGGGGATATCCATATAGCTGATTCACTTTGTTATACAGCAGAAACTAACACAACATTGTAAAGTAATTATACTCCAATAAAGATGTTAAAAAGAAAAAGTCGAATCAGGAAGGAGCTTTAGAAGACATCTAGTGTGGGTCTCATTCTGTATTTGATGAATTTAAAGCCCAGAGAGGTTAAGTGGCTTATTCAAGGTAACCAGCAAATCAATGGCAGAGTTGGAGCTGGAACCCAGGTTTCACTGGGTACTTGTTTCTAGAATCATCAAGTCTAAACCTCTTATTTACGGATGAGGGCAGCACCAAGTTCCATATGTGAGAAGAGACTGGCCAAGCCTGGATACCAATCAAATTCCCCATATTCCCATCCAATGGTCTTTATATCAAATTTTCCCTTTCTTCACATCCCCAGGGCTAAAGGGAGATGATGAAGTAAAGGGTGGATGACTAATTTGGTTTTTGGCACATATTCTATTGATCCATCAGTGAGCATTGAGGCCTTCTAGGTACAAAGTACTTCAGCCACTTTGGGTAATAAACAACAAGCAAGGCAAGGGAAAGAGAAGGTAAGTGTATCCTAAAAGTAGGACAGACATGGAATGATTGGACACAAGGATGATTCATGCAAAGAAGCCCAGAAAGCGATCACACAGAGTCCCAGGACACAGCCTCTTTCTACCTCTTCTCTCTCTCCTTACCCAGTGACCTTCCCCATTCCCTCCCCAAGAGAGAATAAACTCATTAGCTATCACAGCCTTGGCTCTCCTCTCTGGAGGGTGATTGAAGAATAGATGATAGGGCTGTCAAACAGGGTTGTGAGTAGCTTAAGTTCCCTTTGGCCTTCTCTTCTCAGTTAGGATCCTGATGAGGATTTTTCCTGAGCATCAACTGTGGACCAGACTCATGTGTACAGATAATGAATTATACTACTAGTTCTTACAGCAATCTCCAGAGATAGAAATTATCATCCCCAATGTACAAGTGAGGAAATTTCAGGCCAGAGAGGTTAATTTTCTTGCCTGACTTAGATTCAGACCCATTGGTTGCAAAGCCAGGCTCTGCCCACTTGACCTCAGGCCCTCTCCATGTCACCAGGTAACCTTACAAGATGCAAAACTTTTCATGGTCCGACTTGTTTAGCTCTTTTTTTACCTGCCTTCTGTGAAGATACCTCCCATAATCTGAGTTATATAAAGAACACTTTTTTTCTCTTGTAGTCTCCTTTTCATCCACATGGAGCTCAGCCACCTGTGGAATTGACAGCCTGCCATACCTCGTTAGGGTGAAGGTTGTGGGTGAGATGGAGGCCAACTTCCTGGAGTGGAGGAGTGGGGCTGGAAGGTCACATTTGGGAGACAGTTTGCTCCACTGACCATTGGCTGTCCTTGCAGGTCTGGAGTGCAGCTTTGACTTCCCCTGTGAGCTGGAGTATTCCCCTCCACTGCACAACCTTGGGAACCAGAGCTGGTCCTGGCGCCGTGTCCCTGCCGAGGAGGCTTCCCAGATGGACCTGTTGGATGGGCCCGAAGAGGAGCATGCCAAGGAGATGCCCAGAGGTAAGGGCAGAGGCCACTGCAAAGTGTCCCAGATGGGCCAGGATGGGGCTGGGATGTCTATTTCTGTTTGAAATTTTGAGGCTTCTCCACCCCTGTTCCATCCTGTTTCCTTTGAAACCTATTTGTAATATCTGTGCCTCTTCATGTCTTCTTGGGCTATACAAGGAAGAGGAGGTTGCAAGTCCAATTTCAGGATCAATCCAACCCTTTACGCTCTTATTAATGAAAGAAAATAGGATTTCATAGCTCTCTTTCATGCAGATTTCCCAATGTAAGATATAGAAGAAAATGTTAATCTGTTTGTTCATTTGGAATGGGGTTGCCAGTTAAAACACAGGACATCCAGTTAACTTTGGGCTTCCAGTGAATAACAAATGATTTTTTAGTATAAGTATGTCTCATGCAATAGTTGGGACATACTTATACTTAAAAATTATTCAAATTATACTAAAAAATTCAAATGTAATTGAGTGTTGTACATTTTTATTTGCTAAATCTGGCAATCCTAATTTGGAAGGTGTTGTATAACTGAGTTAAATGTTAGTTTCAAAGCCATTAATGAATATTTAGACTGCATATTAGTTCTGCAAGGTGCTTCCAGTAGTTCTTTGCTGTTTATGAACATCCTCTTCTAAATTATCAGGACTGGAAAAGGTAGGCTGAGGGTAAGTAATGGGTGCTTGTTAAATATTTGCTGAGTTTTTAGAGAGAGATGTGGAGGCACTAAGCCCTAGCACTGCCTCAGGTCTCTTTAAGGCAAATCTTAGAGCTCCCAATTCCTTGGACTCAGAAAACTTTACTGACCCAGAATAGACCACCTATATTTCTAACTTTCAGGAAGAAATGATAACTGACATAGTACTGGACTTACTGGACATTCAGAGTAGTATTTTCAGTTTGCAAAGCCCTTCCAACTGCACTGTCTCATTGAATTCCAATTTTGTGAGGGAGTCAGGACAGATGGGAAAGCTAGGGCTCAGAGAGGGGAAGCAACTTGCTAAAGATCAGCTTATACATGTGGGTCCAGGTCTAGATGTCTGCCGTGATGAGTCATAGACCAGAATACTTTTCACCATATCATGTTTCTGTCTTTGTAGCGAAAGCTGTGGTGACAGCCTGCTGTGGGCCCAGTTCTTAGGGGTGATTATCTCAGGCAGATGCTCTTGGGAAACTAACAGGGACAGGGCTCAAGTACGCTCATGGGAGACTAATAACTAGTAACTAATGCTCCCAGGCTCCTACATCAGCCTTGAGCCCTGAACTATGAGGCACCTTTCTTTTCTACACACTCTCCCAGGCTGACCTTTTCTATTTTTATGACTCTCTTGAAATTTCTTGACTTTGATACGTATTTTAAGCTGCTTTCATCTGGATACTGTTGTGTAACGTAGGGTGTGTATGTGTGTAGGTGTGTGCTCTTAACCCAATAATGCCTCCGAATATTCTGGAGAACTTATAAAAAAATACTTCCTAAGCGCTATAGCCTAATTCTGATTCAGTAGATCTGAGATAGAGCCTAGAAATCTGTAGATTTTAAAATTTTACTATAAAAGCTAGCATGTGCAAAAAAGTAGATATAACATATATGCAAGGATTAAAGATTACAATAAAATCAGTACTTGTATTCTCATCACCAAGTGTAAGAATTTGAATGCTGTCAGTCCCTTTACCCTTTACAATCTCTTCTGTCCCCCACCCAGATCAAAAATCTCTCCCTTTCCCCAGAGGTAAATATTATCCTGCACTTTGTGTTAATCATTCATTTGCTTTCTTTGTGTCCTTACCACTTATGTATATAGCCTCAAACAACATATAGATTAGATTTGCAACCTGTTATATAAATGGAATAATGTTTTTGTTCTGTGATTTGCTCATTTTGACGCATGTAGCTGTGGTTCATTTGGTTTTGAATCCATTGCAGAAAAATACCACAATTTCTCTCTTCCACTGTCATTAGATATTTGGGTTGTTTCCAGGCTTTTGCTATTACCAACAACTCTACTGTCAGCATTTTTGTGCATGCCTCTTGGTGCGTATGCACGTCCAAGAGTTTCTCTAGAGCGTAGAACTTGGAGTGGAATTTCTGGGTCACAAGGTACAGCTTCCATTTCAATAGATAATCCAATGTATTTTCCAAAGTGGTGGCACCAAGTTATACTCCCTCTAGTGATGTATTAGTACATCTGGGATCCTACATCCTCACCAGTACCCGGTATTGCCAGACTTTGTCATTTTTGTTCATCTGGTGGATGGAATACAGTATGTCATTGCAGCTTTGATTTCTATGGGACTCCGTTTTATTTTATGGTTGTGTAAGTTTCTCAGGTGATTCTGAGGTTTACTGTACTATTGGTGTGGACCCTTTTTCAGGCGTACTCCCATTCAGCCACCCTTAGGGATGTCTCTGTATCCCAATTCCTAACCTCTAGAAACAGTCCTGGCAGTACATGCAGTTTTGGTCATTGTACGGTTTTTTTATCTGATAACTATTGAATTGTGATTACAGTTCAGTGAGATCAGGAGAGAGGGACAAGTGGCAACTGTCCACAGATGTTGTGGTGTCAGACTTTATAACTTTGAAGATCAGTGCTTTTTAAATTTTTAAACAAGTTTTAAAGCAGTGCCAATAGATTATGTATTGCCACTCTCTGACCGGTTTCTCCTCCTCCATCCTCGATCTTATGATCTTTAGAATCTGCCCGTTACTCCCTGTACTGTGAGAAAAAATAAGGAAGGAGAGGAGGGAAGAAAGAAATACTCACTTCTCGGTGGTCCTGACTGTGGAAATATATTGAGGCCTTTATGTTTCTATAAAGCTGAGTCCCAAGGGCCAGAGCATGCATTGAATGTGAACCATTTCCCATTAGATGAATCAGCCAGGATTCGAATCTCCACTTTTTAGTAAGTATTGCCAACTTCCATCTCTCTGAAAAATCACCGCTCTTCCTAGCGTGGTAGAATCTCACATCACTGAAGATGATGATGGGAACAACCATGACAAAGCCGCTGTGGATATACCAGTTCATTTTATCAAGTTCTTTAGTGAACAAACACATCCAAACATAACTTGGGGGAATCTCACCATTATCAAATACTTGTGTTTATTTTTTGGGGGGTCTAATGGAGGGATCTATATTCCATAGCCTTGGTCAGTCTTAGAAACAAGAGACTATCCTCCCAGCTTTTGTAGCGATGCTTCTGGAAGGTCACTGAGAGGTGTTCAGAATTTCCAGTAATGGACCACTCATTGATTTTTGAGTCAACTGATTACATCGCTATCTGTTCCCTGAAGTAGGGTTGCTCCTCATGAAGCAGGCTGATGTATTGTAATGTCCCTTGGCCTTCAGGGAAAGAGGTGAAGGTGAGGGGAGAGGAAATGACATGCCCAATCCAGACAGCAGCAAAGCAAGGACCTAACTCTCAACTCTTTAGAATCTCACTTTCCCTGTCATTTCGGCAGAAATAATACCATTGGTGGAGATAAAAAGGAGTGATGGAGTGCCCTTTAGGGCACTGTAGTCAATAGAGTTTTTTTTTTTTCTTGTTTGTTTTTTAAACTCAACATTTATTGGTTGGATGGTATTTAGACTCTATTACAATATTTCTTGTCAGGGGATATAGAAGAGCCAGAGAAAGGCAGCGAGATAATACCAATCACATATAATGAACTGTAGGAGTATAAATTCTGAATGAATTTAATTTATGGCCCCTGTAGCTGAGAATAATAAGGGAGAAACAATTCAGAGCAGCAAGATAATAAAAAGTGATGATCTTGATAGAACACAATATTATAGATTAATAAAATCTTGAGGAATCATCAGGTGGAGGCATTCTGTGACTTTTTAAGAAGTGTCAGGGGCATGTTTAATGTCTACTACTTCTGGAATTAGCGAGATAAGATTTTGATCTCTAGCTAAGCTTTAGCTTTTTTTTTTTAACATCTTTATTACAGTATAATTGCTTTACAATGGTGTGTTAGTTTCTGCTTTATAACAGAGTGAATCAGCTATATATATACATATATCCCCATATCTCTACCTTCTTGCGTCTCCCGCGTCTCCCTCCCACCCTCCCTGCCACCCCTCTAGGTGTTCACAAAGCACCGAGCTGATCTCCCTGAGCTATGTGGCTGCTTCCCACTAGCTATCTGTTTTACATTTGGTAGTATATATAACTCCATGGCACGCTCTCACTTAACCACAGCTTACCCTTCCCCCACCCCATGACCTCAAGTCCATTCTCTACGTCTGTGTATTTATTCCTGTCCTGCCCCTAGGTTTTTCAGAACCATTTTTTTTAAAAATTCCGTTTTAGTTCTTTAAGGAACCCCCATACTGTTCTCCATAGTGGCTGTATCAATTTACATTCCCACCAACAGAGCAAGAGGATTCCCTTTTCTCCACACCCTCTCCAGCATTTATTGTTTGTAGATTTTTTGATGATGGCCATTCTTACCTGTGTTAGGTGATACCTCATTGTACTTTTGATTTTCATTTCTCTAATGATTAGTGATGTTGAGCATCCTTTCATGTGTTTGTTCGCAGTCTGTATATCTTCTTTGGAGAAATGTCTATTCAGGTCTTCTGCCCATTTTTGGATTGGGTTGTTTGTTTTTTTGATATTGAGCTGCATGAGCTGCTTGTAAATTTTGGAGATTAATGCTTTGTCAGTTGCTTCATTTGCAAATATTTTCTCCCATTCTAAGTGTTGTATTTTTGTCTTGTTTATGGTTTCCCTTGCTGTGAAAAGCTTTTAAGTTTCATTAGTTGCCATTTGATTATTTTTGTTTTTATTTTCATTTATCTAGGACATGGGTCAGAAAGGGTCTTGCTGTGACTTAGGTCATAGAGTGTTCTGCCTATGTTTTCCTCTAAGAGTTTTATAGTGTCTGGCCTTACATTTAGGTCTTTAATCCATTTTGAGTTTATTTTTGTGTATGGTGTTAGGGAGTATTCTACTTTCATTATTTTACATGTAGCTGTCCAGTTTCCCTAGCACCA